CTGCCCGGGGAGCGGCCAACACTCCGTGTGATAGTTCCGAGAAGTTCTATATATACTGTCTATGATTCGGAAATTTAATCCCGCGATTTAGGCTTCGGTGTGTTTCGGTGTGCTAGTGGCGCGACGACAGCGCCGCTATAGGCTATACTGTATTGATGGATTAATGGATATAACAAATTTGGGCGTAAAATCGATATAATCAAAAATTTGTTTATATTATTGTACGTAAATCAGCTACAAAATATTTGCGTCTTGCTTCAAGCGATAACAATTTCTAATTTTTGAATAATTTTGAGTACGAAAAAAAACATTTAAAAAATCTGTACTCTATGGAGCGAAGAAACTTTCGTTTCGTCTATACAACATTTAACAAAAACCCTGTAGTTTCCTTTAGATTATTACCAGAATCAGTACAAACTTACAGATATAACTTTACTTCAGAAAACTTAGCCATTAAAAAATAACCTGACTTTAAAGAAAAGTTAATGTAGATGAATAGTTGCGTGTGATAATTTAACCTTACAAAATACTCGTAATAAATTAGCCCGTTGAAAGCGCAACGTGGGTAGTACTTCGAAATGAACCTTGGCTACCACAGACAACGATCAGATTAAAAAAAAAAAATAATTCTCTTTACAGATGTTAAAACAGATATCACAGAAAAAAAAACTAGCAGGCAAAATGTATGAGCATTACATTTCTCCACTTGTTTTTATTTTAGATTAAATCGCTATTTATTAAACTTTAGTATTAAATGACTGATTTATTATAATGGCCTTCTAAGAAGCCTTGTTCCTAGCAAGGCCATTTGGAAGAGTTTAATGAAACTTAAGTTCAATCAATATTGATTAAATCTGCAATTTAAAAAAGTGGTTTATATGTTACGTAATAAAACAAAGTATTACTTAAATATTTGTTAGTTTCATTTATCCAGTAAATAAACGAATAATAACTGTTTATTTGTTAGTCTTCCATGGTACACCCACCTTACTTTGGAATGAACGTTGGTTACCACTGACAACGATAAAACTAAAAAAACAATAAATCTCTTTACAACTTACGTTAAACTTTACGTTAAAACAAATATATTACATAATTACCAAAAAAACTAGCAGGCAAAATTTATGAACATTATATTGATCCATTTTTCGAATCAAATATTTTTTCTATGTTTATTTTTGTAGATGCTGTGTATATGTGTGTGTATAAATCTATCCTCGATTAAAAATATATGTTTATTACATAGGTTGTAACAGATGGGGTGGAATCATTCGAAACAGAATAGTGGGGTATATTAAAATCTACAAACCATCTACGATAATTATTGTAGAACATACTAGGTCTGGGTTCAATACAACCAATAGGGAAGGAAAGTTGTCGACTGTTTCGGGCCTCGTACAAGTAAGTGGAGCTTTGGGCAGTCCTTCAGTAGATGGAGTGATGCTCTGGTGCGACATCTAAAAAGTTGATAGAAGCGGGTGGCAGGTGGACCACATATTTTGGCATTCTTAAGGAAGACTTAGGTTTAGCGGTGGACTTACGTTTTGTTGCAATGATGATGATACTTGGTATGCTCTAAAATATACATAACTTAATAATGTAATCTTAGTAATTAATGTTGAAGAGTACGTTTATCTGAGACAAATAGTCCCACCAGGTAAGTCTAACTTTGACCGAGAGGTCAATTGACGGATTCAACTCGACTGGGCGGTGCTCGGGAAATTACGACACATCTTCTCGTCAGGTTTACCTCAAAACCTGAAAACCAAATTGTATAACCAGTGCTTGTTGCCAATGATGACTTATGGATCTGAGACGTGGTTCTTCACTGTTGGCCATATGAGGACTCTCAAGGTCACTCAACGAGCTATGGAGAAGGGTATGCTTGGAGTTTCTCTGCGTGATAAACTTAGAAATGGGGATATCCGCAGTAGCACTAGAGTGACCGACATAGCCCAACGGATTAGCAAGCCGAATTAGCAATGGGTTGGCCATATAGCTCGAAGAACCGATAACCGGTGAGGAAAAGAGGTTCTTGAGTGACAGCCTCGTACTGGTAGGCAAATTGTAGGGCGATCCCCCACTGAATGGAGTGACGACCTGGTATGACATGCGGGAAGTCAATGGATACAGTTGGCTGAGGACCGAGCTTTATGGCATTCTCTGGGGGAAGTCTATGTTTAGCAGTGGACTTGTGAGGGGCAGTAATGATGATGATGATATATTTTTTGAAATTATCGAAACTAATTAGGCATTAGATTGGTTACTGCCTCTTAACTAGTATATTTACCAGCAACAATAGAGTGCAATCCGAATACGATACAATACATCAAGACTCTACTGCTGAACGTAAATATATTTGCCACAGTTGTCCCGCTGGATAGGCGGACCGGCAACTATAGTTTCTTAATCACAATATTAAGTTGTAAACAGAAGGACTCTGCTATCTATCTCCTGGTTTAGTTTCCTCTGTCGCCTCTTACGACACCCACGGGACTATATGGGGTAGTGGATATTCTTACATCGCCCATACAAGGTAACATTATTTATCATACTATTTGTATGTTTACATTAATAGAAGACGCACGTATGTAGTAATTTTATATTTAATTTTGGGTTCTTAGCTCATTTCAACTTATAATCAGGAATGATTTCTTATATTTACGCGAACGCTACACATTGATTAAAACTACTTTTGCGGATTTTATCGCGTTTAATTTTAATTATTTTTAATTCCCGACGTTTCGGACGCTTTCATGAGATGACTTACGTCCCGATGTCATTGTTAAGCCCGGAGTACCTTCAGCTTTTTTAATTATTATTTATGGTCCGATGTATGCAAAATGAACTGACGGTGTCTTGAAGTCTTGCAGTGGTATGCTTGGGTTTAGTTTTAATTTTATTGATTATAGGATCCCAAGCAGGTGGTAGTACCCATCGTGCGTCTCTATTGAAATGAGGTTACTTTTTAATTTCATAATTATAAACACTCACGCCTGTCACCCAGAGGGGTAGGCAGAGACTACAGACTTCCATTTGGCACGATCCTGACACACCTCTCTCGCCTCCTTCACATCCATATACCTACGCATATATGCTCGTCGTTTAAGGGTACTCTTAATTTGGCCCGTTTTCAATAAATTGTCAATTTGGTGACTAGGACGTCCCTTTCCGACTCTGCCATTCACTTCTGCAACATAAATTTTCTTTGTCACTCTTTCCTCATTCATTCTTTCCACATGACCAAACCACCGAAGAATTTCTTTCCTAATCCTGGTCACAACATCATCTTGCAAACCACACTCTTCTCTTATTACACAATTTCTTACCCTGTCGTTCAGATTCAGCCCTAACATACTCCTTAACGACCGCATTTCTACTGCGTTGATTCTACTCTCGTGCTTCTTCTGCCACACCCAACTTTCACTACCATACGTTAAAGTAGGGACCAACACAGCATTGTGAATTGCCATACGTGCCTTTTTTTGACACATTTTGACTCTTCACAAGGTGGCCCATTTACTCTATTTCCCGCATTCACTCGTCGTTCTATATCCTTATCGTATCTCCCATCCCTGCTAAATACGCAGCCTTTTTAATTTGAATAGCCTCACGTATCATCATTGGTACGAATCGGGATTTGTGGTCTATCAAATCTGATGTAATGGTTGGGGCCGTCTAGGATATGATCACAAACTGCAGACTTCCCGGAATGTTGATGCTTCACATCATCTATATGTTCTTTTACGCGGGTTCTAATTGATCTTTTTGTTTGTCCTATATAAGAGAGACCACATTCACGATCAAGCTTGTACACTCCTGCATTTTGTAAAGGAATATGACACTTGACGGATGGTAAGAACTGACTAATCTTCTTCCGCGGCTTGTAGAATGTTCTAATAGAAGCTCGCTTCAAGATGTACCCAATCTTGTCTGTGACACCTCGGAGGTGTGAGGTTTTTAGGTCACACTGTGTATAGAAAAAAGACCTATACAAATCTATATTTAAATGGTGAATCTCACCACCATCCTTCACAGTTAGCTACCTGCTGCGCCAATTCTTGTTGGTAGACTCCATATATCTATACGATCATAAAAGTGAGGGAATAGAAAGTGCATCTGTGTCTGCGCGATCGTGAATCATTCTGTCCTGCGCAGATGGCTATTCTTGGTTGAGACTGGCCACCATGAACGAAATTCGATTAAGAAGACATTATTATTCTGCTTACGTGATACTTACGAACGGCAGAAAATTGAAATAAAAAGACACAATATTTTTTTTTCATTAACTTTTATTAACAATCGATTATATTGATTATAAAAATGCATTTCCAGCTTATTGTCAACTAAAAGTGTTTTTCCAGATTCTGAGTTATGTTTTTAAAACAGTCTCTTTAATAATATTTCCATTAAGTGCATACATACAAAATATACATAGAAATCATTTTTCTTACTACAAAATATGCAATTAATAAAATCGCATAGAAAAATCAGAAAATTTGTATGTACATGAGTATGTAAGTTATACCTAGAAGTCACAATTATACGTTATGAAAATTTACAAGTAACAAAATTTCCTTTGGATGTAAATTTTATTAAACTATAAATATAAGTATATAATAAACGGATTTATTTAAAGTACTCGCTTAATTTAAATTGTACATGTACTTAAATTTTAATTAATTTAATAAGTACGTTTCATGCAAATTTACTTTCGGTGGAACATGACTCTTCAATACTAAAATAAGTTACATTTAACTGTAGTAAACATAACAATTTTAGCATACATCATATTTATTCTGTCACCATCATAAATTGTACCGCCATATAAAATAATAATAATGTAGATTTCAATAAACTAGAAGATAACTATTCAAAATTAGTTTGTAGTTAAATTTTACTTACGCTATTATTATCCTAAAGTCTAATCGTAATTTACTATATAACATCACATTAAAAATTAAAGTTAAATTAAGTGAGCATTTTAAGTAGACAATTCGCTAGCATTCTTTCGCTTTGCCATTTGCAATTGTTTGACTTGGTTTGCTTTGAATTTTGTCAGCTACATTGTTGTTTTCGGTCTCAGTCATGACATAGCTTCGGTAATAGAAATTACCAAACATGTACAAGAAGAGAGCAGCGTTGAGGGCCAGTAAGAAGTTGATGAACTTAGGGTAGTTGCAGTCACAGAACATCACACTGAAGTTGTGATAGAACACGATGACGAACTGGACCTGTTATGATAAAATTTAACTGATATTAATATTGTAAATAAAATCATCATATTGTGAGCTAAACCAGTTGAATTCGCAGGTATCTTGTTTTTAACTTCCCGTTAATAAAATTGAAAATTTTCGAAAATCGGGAAGTTATTGTTTTATCCTGTTTTTCGTAAATTGAGTTTTCATTAAATCTTGACGTTTTGAGGTCACATCCTGAGAATTTTTCAATGGTGTCTGTATGTCTGTATGTATGTGTATTTGTATGTATGTGAATGTATGTAAACCTCTTATAACTTTTGAACGGCTTGATCGATTGAAATGAACTAAGCGGATTTCCAAAGTGTTTATCAAACTTAGATTTCCTACGAATTTTAACTGGTTGGGACCGGTAGATTTTGAGAAAACTCAAAAATAAGAATTTAGAAAAACTGTTTTTTTTTTTAGAATAACTCTTAAACGGCTTTACAGGTCGATTCCAAATACTATAGTTTGCCCGTTCAGAGAATGCGTTCCTGACACCTATCAGTTAGTCACGACTAGTGATGGGCACAACATTACACTGAGTTCGTTACCGTTCCTCCAAAATGAACCGCCGCGTTATTTTTAAGATTATTTTCGTTTTAAATTGGTGGAATCATTTAAAAATTATATTTTAGTAATTTAAGTGGAAACCAAAAAAAGGTAATATTAATATAATAAGATTGTTTTATTTATTCTTTGTTACAAAGTTACAATCTGTATTTCTATGCAATAAAGTACATTGAATTGAATGTGCGTACAGAATATTAATCAGACTCCGATTCGCTTGAGGTGGTGGTGTCTTCATCATCATCTTCGCCTACATTTATAATTATATTATTATCAATAACAGAATCAATCCTGATATCTCGGTTAAAATGTTCCACAATCAGGTTTTTAGTCTTCTCAACAACCTTTGCCCAGTCATCTCTTGTGACTTCCCCGCAGGCTTCTTTTAATAGGGTCATCATCTTTTTCGTGCTGAATGGCGGGGAAGTATTGTGGCGGGCGGCGTAACCTTTTATTTGAGCCCAGATTAGCTCAATCGCGTTATATTGGCAATGATACGGTGGAATTCTTAGAACGCGATGACCGTAACGAGAGCCAGTTCATCGATTTCGTATCGCACATTTGCCGCTTTATTTTCTTTAACTAATTCAATTAGCTCTGGTTTTAGCATCTGCATATTTGCGTCAATGCCTTTTGCTTGTAACCAAGCCACCATTTCTTCTTTTTTATTAGCTTGGGTAGGTGGTTTCTATATTTGAACCGAGTGATAGGAGGCATTATCCATGAATATTACAGAAGGCTCTGGTAGGCTGGGCAAAAGCACGTTCTGGAACCACTCTTTAAATGTAGTGGCATTCATTTCCTCGTGGTAGTCATTTGTGGTTTTTGATTGAAATGCCAGTAACGCGTTCTCCACTAAGCCGTATTTTACAGAACCTGCGTGGCGTATTATCAGATGGGCCCCCTTAACCATTGGTACTTTCGACGTCGATGCTTGTGTATCATCCGTCCACGAACGGGGAACCGTGTGATTGGCGTTTAGCCATGTCTCGTCAATGAACACGACATTATCCTAGTTATAAATATTTTTTGCTTCTCTCAAAAAACTTATCCGTTTTAAAATTATGTCGTAACGATGCCAAAGCTTTTTCCTGTTGAGATACATTTTGCCGCTCCCGCTCAAAGTAATCTTGCAGCTTGATGATTAACTCACGGGCTCCACTTTTCAATGTTTGTCCACGTTTAGGCATTATTATGCACCAAAAGTAAAAAGAACGCAATACAAAACACAATCGAAGTCCGATTTAGCGCCGATGTCAGTTTGAAAAGCAGAAACAGTCCATTAAACGAAAGCCAGGTAATCAAATAAAAACAGATCGAAAACACTTGAAGAACGTGGCCTATGCGCACGAAACGACAGTAGACGACTGTTTTAGCGTCACAAAATGGCGGCCCATAACGCCATTTGGGGTTACCATTTTCAACCTAAATATAAAAATGCTACTTTCTTTCGGGCGTTCGGTTTGGTCGTAGTTTTATTTTTATATATAATAAAAGTTATCTTATAGTCCATTATTTTCAAATTCTTAAAAATAAAAACAAAACGTATTATTTTATAAAGTATAACTGTATAAGAACAGATTACGATACTGTTATTGCCTGTTATTGTTAGCACAGCATTACAAATATAAAGCGCTGATATAACCTTGTAATAGCGCAGATTAATATATAATAGATTTAGAAAAATATTGTTTACCAAATTATTTGACACTCAGTTTGGCACAAAATTATAACATTCATTGATTATTGATATAATAATAGTTGTTTTAATGCTCATCAATTGTTAAAACGGTAAACAACCAGTATAATATTTTTATCGTAACTGCAACTACAAAGTTACGTCGACAGTTCAATCGCGACATGTCAGAAACGCATTCTCTGAACGGCCGAATTATCAGCTTTATATCTTGAAAAATCACGTTGATTGCTGTTTGTTCGGTCAAAATCGGTTCATTCGTTCGTGAGATATCGTTAACGAAATATTTTGAAAAAATATTTTTTTTTAAATTACCCCGATATTTCATATTCAACGTCATAATTTGGTAAAATTTTTGAGCGCTTTGCATTTGAAATTAGCAGGAAGTTCCAGGGATGGCCTGTAGAATCAACCAATTTTTTTTAATATAAAACTAAAGTACATATGAACTTACAGTCCACATGATGATATATGGCCCATGCAGTCTATAGATGCCTGTGGCCAACTTAAACAAAGAAGGCTATAGATGCGTTGTCACATTTGCCTACTGAGTTGGAATGCCGCCTGTAGTTATTTTACTGGCTCTCTGTACCCTTCAGACTGGAACACAGGATTGTAAGTACTGCTATTTGCTAGTAGAAATACACAAGCGGGAGGTAGCTCCCTTGCGGACTCCTACGTAGAAAATTATTCCTACCACCTAGGATAACACAAAATTTTGAGGGCATGTTTAAGTTTTTTTTATTTCCTATTTATTTCACTTTTATTATTACGAAAACAAAATATTGTCTGAAAATAATACAAAATATATAATTTAAAGTAAAGTAATATTATAATTTAAAGTAAATAAATTTTAAATGTAGAGGGATAAAAGGCAATCTTTTGGCTTGCCATCTATGTGATTACATAACGCGTTGTTTCAAGGTAAAAGTAAACGAGCTTTTTTGTTATTAGGCCAGTACGCTTTACCATATTCATCATGAGCTACCATCAGTTGGTATGTTTTTTATAGGATTGGGTGCCAAACGAGCACACAGTCCACCTGATGGTAAGTGGTCCCGTAGAAATTTACATCTATCTTCCATTATGAATCAAAATACAGATGCGTTATCACCCGTGCAGACTAAGACGAAATGCCTCGTTTCCAATAAAAAGGGTCCGGTTTTCTACAATTATTATACGAAACACAGCAGCATTTAGCTGCTATTTTACGCTGGTATTCTGTGAGAGCGTGGTCCTTCCCCGGTCGAGCCGAATCATTCGTGCTACAACTATACTACTAATATAACTGCAGCACGGTTCTACCACGTATAGAAGTCAAGCTAGATTAATTATCCTAAAATATAAAGTTAGATTTTAAAATCATTTTGATATAAACAATAACTTAGGTTACTCACAAGTTGCATGCTGGTAAGGTGTTTTTTCCACCACAGGTATTTTTGATACTGCGGACCAAGGCCTGAGATCAGATAGTACGTATACATGATCACATGGATGAAGGAATTTATCACGCCCAAGAGAGTCCCGTGACCACCTTAAAAAGATAATGATTATAAATGATATAAAGCACTAAGGAACGAAATATTTATTTAAAAATTACTATTTTCTGTTTTGTATCTGCAATACAATCGCAAAACTTACATATTTTTAATTCGTAGCAAGACCAAACGAAAAAGAAAAACGAAAGAAAAAACAGTGACATAAAAAACAAGTTATGAAATTATATTTTTTTAAGACTAGTTAATAAATTGAATATACCTGGCAGGAATTTGACACCAATCCAAGCGCAAATTGGCATCATTGTATGATGGTAAAGATGAAGGAATGATATTTGTTTATTTTTCTTCCTGAGTACGAAGAATATTGTGTCAAGCAGCTCGATAATCTTCGCGAAGAAGTACCACCAGACTGCTCCCGCCATCTAGAAGATTAAAAGTAAGAGATATAAATCTTTTTTCTGTGCTAAGATTTAGAAATAAATTAAAGTTAGAACTTAAAGGAAGAAATAGTGGATGGATTTATTTCTTGCTTAGGAGCTCGTCTGGATGGGAACCACCCCCTAATCTTAAATCGCAGTACGGGCATTGCTGTTTTACGTTCTAAAGAGTAAAGAGGCCTACAATTCCAGACTGTGGGGCACTCCACCATAGTCCTCATCTATTATCTAGATGTTAGTGTTGTTAGTCTATGCGACTCTTATACCTTCATCTTGTCTCAGGGCTCAGCTAATTAAAAAAGGGAAAGGCAATGAGGTGAGGATGATGATGAGATGGTTTATGATTTGATATTGTTACCAATCATCATGTCGCCTTTTAGGCGTTTTTCTTTGAGCTATCTAACCGCAGTCCGAGGGGGGGTGTGCGGACCCCCGTCTCTGACTGCTCAGCTCGTGTCGGTCGGTGGAAGTCCTCATTGGTGACAATGCATCTCTAGTCTTTTTTTAAATTGGTGTTCATGGATGGAGATAGACTGTAGATTCGTTTGTCACTTCAATTAAATTTAAAAAAATATTGATGTTACATTTGTCAAGTAAAAAATCTATTCCATCCATGTCGGACGGCGGACACTTCCTTGCCCTAAAACACCCTCAGAAATGAGGGGAGGCCTGTGCCCAGCAGTGGGACGTATATAGGCTGCTTACAGGTGAGCTTTAAACTTATTGGTTTCCCTTCCTTATAAAAATAAAAAAACCTTCCTACGAGTTTTTTTCACTTACCCTGAACGCCTTAGGGTTATACGAGTAGTCCACCGGTTGACAGCTAAAGTTGTAATCGTTCCACCAGCCGGCGGCTAGGCCCTGTTAAAAAAAATAAGGCGTAAAAATCCAAAAAATTACAATATTATTTTCACAAAATAAAATTTAGTGTTAAAATAAACTTACTAAATACAAAAATTAAAAAAGAAGGTTTGTTTACCATCGACACAGCATCTTTGTTGACAGTTTTTATTTTTAATGTTGTTTACCAATTAGTTGATTTGACCAGACTTAAATGCAAAACAGTGCATACTAATTGAGAAAACGATTAAATATATTTGTGTCATTATAATCAAATTTCAAAATGGGACAAAACACACAAAGAAAATGAAAAAGCAAATTTTTTTATTTCTCTTAGAATAGTTAATGTAGTTAAAGTTAAAAAAAGTTGAAGTTACAGCATATATATGTCCCACTGCTGGGCACAGGCCTCCTTTCATTTCTGAGAGTGTTTAGGGCAAGGAAATGTCCGATGCGCTGCCCCGATGCGTGTCGGCAAACTTCACATGCCTTCAAAATATTTTTTTCCTATTTCTCAGACATGCAGGTTTCCTAAAGACGTTTTCCTTCACCGGTAAATTTGTCAATATATATATTGTTATATATTACACCAATATACATTAAAACGAAAACAAAATGAAATTTATTAAGAAGGTTAAGGTACAATAGCGGTATTATTGTTGTGGAAGCAGTTTCTTCCAGACAATCATTTTACGCAATGGGTTGTTGTTTATATCGAATGGCGAAAAGGGAAGGTGTGTAAAAATTAAAAAGTAAATAAAAGAAAAAAAATGAACGAACTACTATATTCGTTGCATAATATCAAATAAATAATATGCCTTATGTGTTTTTTTGTTCTTTTTTCTCACTGCTAGGCACAGGCCTTCTCTCATTCCTGGGAGAATTATGGAGCATTTATATCGCCACATTGCTGCAGTACGTTTAGCGGAATTCACCTGCTGTTTAAATATTTAATCCCTAAAACAGGCAGGTCCCTTCAACACATTTTCTTAAATCATCACGTGGTAAATTAGCAATTAAAATACAACGCACAATTGCATTCGTGCTGGCGATGATCGAACCCAAGTTGCTAGCGTACTGGGAAGCTTACTGCGAGCGTATAACCTCATGCTATAACGGCTTAGGCTATTATTATTGAATTTAACAATGAATTGATAATCAGCGAATGAGATAAATTTTCGAAAACAAAAACGTCTTTAGTGATAAAGCACGCAGGCTACGTTTATTGTGTCGATACGCAATAAGTTCGTTATTCAGTTTTTAGTGTTTGATGAAATTGTTCTCCAAAGAGAGACATAGCTCATTAGTTACACAGTCTATGGCCGCAAAAACACCCCTCCCGAAATCCACTTTTTCTGAAGCTTATCAGATAGATTGGCGATCGCATTACTAAACATATAGGGTGAATTTTTCAATCCTCTTTTTAATCATAGAATAAAATACAACACAAACGAATTAAAAATTACAGTTATTATATATAAAATAGAACAATTGTTTCGCTTTTATATTCAGTCAGGTTATTCAACGGATAACTATTATCTGACCGTTGAAAAATTAGCCCTGTAACTCATACATACAATCCAGATTTATACATTTATAGCATTTCAAAAAATATTTTTTGGTATGATATGCTGGCTGGATATTTCCCATAGTCGAGTTTTATGAGCTCACGACACACAGGTGAAGGAAATTAAAAATAAAATAAATAAACATATTCATATTCACTCACGCCTGTCACCCAGAGGGGTAGGCAGAGACTAAGGACTTCCATTTGGCACGATTCTGACATACCTCTTTCGCCTCCTTTACATCCATATATCTACGCATACATGCTCGTCGGTTAAGGGTACTTCTAACGTGGCCCCTTTTCAAAATATCGCCAATTTGGTCGATAAACTTTTTTCTAGGGCGTCCCTTCCCGACTCGGCCGTTCACATCTGCCATATAAATTTGCTTTGTCACTTTTTCCTCATTCATTCTTTCTACATGACAAAACCACCGAAGCATTCCTTTCTTAATCCTGGTCACAACATCATCTTGCATACCACATTTATCTCTTCACGCAATTTCTCACCCTGTTATTCAGATTCAACCCTAGCATACTCCTTAAAGACCGCATTTCTACAGCATTTATTCTACTTTCGTGCTTCTTCTGCCACACCCAGCTTTCACTACCATACATTAAAGTAGGGACTAACACAGCATTATGAATTACCATACGTGCCTTTTTTGACACATTCTGGTTCTTCATAATGGAGTGTAGTGCCCCATTCACTCTATTCCCTGCATTTACTCGTCGTTCTATATCCCTATCATATCTACCATCCCTGCTAAATACACATCCCAAATACACAAACTCATCCACTTGCTCAATTAACTCTCCTTCTATTCTTATTTCACATACTATTTTGCTTTCTTCTCTTTCAAAAACCATCACTTTCGTCTTACTTGTGTTCACTTTCATTCCCCTTTCTTTTAATCCCCAGTTCATTAATGTAACCATCATTTGCAACTCAGCCGCCGATGACGCAAATATGACTTGATCATCGGCATACAAAAGGCATTTGATGGTTAACTCGCCCATTCTTAACCCACATTCTTCATCTTTCAAAGTTTGCAAACACCTGTCCATAAATAGGTTGAACAGCCACGGGGAAGCTACACAGCCCTGTCTGACACCTTTTTGGATGCCAAACCAGTCCGAGTAGACCCCATTGATCCTGACACAAGCACTAGAGTCCCTATAAAGAGACCTTAATGCCTGTATCAAACCAGCGCTCAACCCATATGAGTTCAGTGTTTGCCATAACACATTCCTGTCCACTCTCTCATAAGCCTTTTCCAAGTCCATGAACGCACAAAAAACTTTCTGGTTTTTGGCCAAAAACTTCTCCGCAATCATGCGCATGGAAAAGACTTGATCTGTACACCCCATTCCCTTTCTAAAACCCGCTTGCACATCCCAAATTTTTCCATCAGTTTCTTTCAAAACTCTTTCAAATAACACCTTAGTATACAGTTTACCCACAATACTAAGCAAGCTGATTCCACGGTAGTTTTTGCAGTCCTGCTGTGACCCTTTTCCTTTATATATTGGTACTATAACTGCTTTACACCAGTCATCCGGTACCCGTTTTAATTTCCAACATATATTAAACAAGGTGTACAGCAGGCCTGCCACCACTCCCTCTCCAGCCCTTAGCATCTCGAGTGATACTCTATCATATCCAGCTGCCTTACCTGCTTTCATGCTTTTCATTGCTTTCATTATTTCATCTCCACTTATCTCCATACCCCTTTCCACTTCTTTCGGAATTTCTAGTTCATTTAATTCAGACGACTCTTCACTCATAAACACGCTTTCAAAGTATTCCTTCCATCTGTTTAAATTCGAAGCTTCATCATTCAGAATACATTCATTTTCGTCTCTTATAGCATTCATTAGAGGCTGTTTTGTATTTCCCCAGGCAGTTGCTACGAGTTTCCAGAACATTTTTATGTTAGCCTGGAAATTATCAGATATCCTTCTATCGTTCTTGTCCGTTCTTTCTTTCTTTTTCCTTTCAACAACTTCTTTTACTCTCTTATTTAGACGTCTAAATTCTGCCTTTTTTCTTTCAATCTCATCATTCATACCAGAAGAATTACCAGCTTTGGTTGCTAGTAAATCTAACCATGCTTTCTTCTTTGATTCAACTTCCACCCGTACCTCATCATCCCACCACAACGTATTACTTTTCCTTTCATTTGTTTTCTTACTTACACCACATACTTCGGTGGCGGCATCCACCAAACCTTTCTTAAAATTATCCCACACATAATATCTAGATTTGTATTAATTTCGCTTTAAATAAAATCCTTTTCATTTTATATACAGTTTATCTACTGCACCACCTCATATCTATCTCTGCTAAGCCTTATAGTTGACGGATAGAAAATTCTCTTTTTTACTATTCATAGCCGGGGTCTAACCACTATCCCAATCGATTATCTACTATCCAACTACTATCTTTGACGTTGTTCGCCATATGTACTACTTTGTACATAATAGTGTCAATAAATATATAAATAACGTATAAAATAACTTGTACTTACCTCATAAACCAAAAACATGCTCATAAATATTTGAATGATATTGTAAATTATGATAGGCTGTTTCAGCGAGTACGGTTTCCTGTCTCTCATGTACCGAGGACCCACAGATGTGCAAAAGTAAAGGTACGTGGCAAGAAGCGTTAGGAGAGGACCTGGTCCTGACATCAGCCACCAGTTCTCTGTCCGAGGATCTGGAAAAAAGAATTGTTACCTTGTATTTGCCTTTCAATATACTATAGTAGATTTTAATATTGTTTATAGAATAAGAGTCACAAATGAGCACACAGTCCACTGACGGTAAGTGAATGCTGTGGTTCATTGACATCTATATCTATCCTCGAAAAATAATTTTAATGCAGAAGCGTTGTCACCCCTGAAAACTAAGATCGACTTGATCGTCGATTGTTCGTTTCAGTTCCGTTCATTAAAGAGAGAAAAAATTGATCACTACCTTTATTCTTCCAGCAGCTAACTTTTTAATTTAAATATTTCTACTTAAAGCTATAGCTTTATTATAAATTATTAAAGTTGTTATATTATATATAAATTATTTAAGTTGTATTTGTATGTAAGTATGCTTAAAATGTATGTATTATGTATTATTTAAAAATTTCATATGTTATTGATTAGGTATAGAGCACTTACATTTTTTATAGGATAAGAGTGACAAGCGAGCACACAGTCCTCCTGATGGTAAGTGAATGCTGTGGCCCATAGACATCTACATTTAACCTCGCTTAAGAATCAAAATGCAGATGCGTTGTTACCCTTCAGAACTAAAATGGAATGCCTCGATTCCAGTAAAACGGGTCTCCGGGTCTCTACATTACGCTGGTATTCAGTGAGAGCGTGGTACTTCCCCGGTCGAGCCGACCCATTCATGCTAATACAATAATGGCTGCAGTGTGGCTGTGCAAGTGGCTCTACCACTTGAAAACTTATATTATTTAGGTCATTTGTAGTTATATATATATTTATAATTGTATTTACACATATGGTACGTATATTTGTATATTTATATTCATGTTTTTTTTTTAGGGGGGGGGGAAAAAAAGGACCCCACCCCCCGGGTTATTTTTTAATATATATAGTATAGCGTATAAATATGTTCATGTTTTTATGGCACCTGCTTAAGTTTCTCTGCTTAGCACATGGTTTACTGGTAGATAATGTCTAACGGCATTAAGTTCGCCAATTGTACATTTTAAATGCAATAAATATTTTAAATAAGAAGTTAAGTAAAAATCTTAAACTTTTAAGCTGCTAGTTCGCGCTGGTATACTGTGACATCATGATCTTTCCTCGGTTAAACAACCCATTGGTGCTACAAACATAATATAATGTGGCTCTACCACCTGCTACGCTTCAAGAAATGGTGATCTTGAAACAACATCTTTCTAAACGTTAAAATACCACCACATCCGTTTCACTACCATACCACCTACCGGGAACAATTGTAAATCTAAACCTTCCTCGAATCAAATAAATCACACATAAAATTTCATTAAAATCGGTCCAGTTGTTTAAGAGTTTTGTCACATATACACGGATATATATACAATATGTAACGTAATTAACGCACACCCTCAGACACCCCAATTAGTATATTATGTTATAACCATAATACATACACTGAATATTTAGTTACATTTTTATGCACTGATTATTTATCAAATTAGTTATACTAATTCCGGAAGAATGTTGTGGTCACACAAATCCACGAACGCAAAGACGTTAACGTGCTTGCAATAAAGTTCATTTTTCTTTATTTTTATTGAATGACAGAATTAGTAATAATTCAAATAAATCTGCACTCTTAAAAGTCTTATTGCCTTAAGTTACGGTCCATTTCAGTTTGTTTTGACTGTACAGATTTAGTGTGACTGTAATTTACGTAGTTTTAATTATTTTTGGGATAAAAAATTACCTATATTAAAAATGATAAAAATCGATTCAGTAAACGATTATGTACAAACTACTTTCTCAAAGTGCGTTAATTATGTTACATGTTGTATATAAGAATATTTTTATATATATATATATATATATATAAAGATATTCGTATTGATACCATATAGTTTAAGTACCACAGATAACTTATACAACTTTATAATATTCCAAAAGCATTCATTAATATTTACAACGTTATTTTATAAAATCAACTTATCGTTCGCAATCACAGTCTGTATAATTTATAATTTTGTAACAAAATTGATTGGGAGTGGCGGAAACAACTAATTGAATACATTTCTATCATTTTAAGAAATGTCTGACTGTCTGTGGGTTTGTTTTTGTGAGGCGTATCTTCGTCTTACAGTTGCAGTAGTCGTTAATTCATTAAAATCGGTAAATTCTATCAAGTTATGATTAATATTCTGAAATGTGGGGACGAAGTATGGGTTTTGTTTTTTCTATCGTATAGGTACAGATTTCAAATCAAGGGCATTTTTGTAATTAAATAATGTAAAATTGTGTTCTGTAATGTTATACTTGTATCTAAACGCAGTAAACAAAAATAATAAAGAATAACGTAATAAATATTTACAATAATTATATAAATCCTAATATCTTAGTGAAAAGAGTACAATAGTTAACCAATGTCATCGATAGATGGTGTTGTGCAAATTATTGAATTAAAATTTAAATAAGTAGGTTTGCCTATAATTTTTTCTTAAGAGGTGAGAGTAAGTCAGCTCAAATTCTAATTTCGCCCCCACTTCCCCGCGCGTCGTATGCTATGTACCGACATGTTTGTAATCACTAATACTCTAAGTAGATAGGTCGTTAGATACTTATTTCATTATGTTTATCATATATATGCCTGTTTCTTAACGCCAACCCAGTCGCTTCTTATTTTTATAACGGTTATTTCCCATTTTAATTTTACGTCTTCCTGTTGCGTAATGTGTTTTCTGATCGTAAGCGACACAACTTCTCCCTTCAAAAGCTGGAGCAATACTAACGGAGCGACAGGATACAGGAACCAAGCTTACGCGCCGATAGTTTAGGTAACTTTTTACAGTGAAAATAATGATATTTTAAAAAAAGTAAATAACATAAGCACTGCTTTATGGTTAGTTCAGTTAGTATGCAAAGTTTCATGATCTTATTTAAAGTATTTTATGAATAACAGCGGTTTATTGTTCAGTTTGGAGGTAACTTTGGATTTTTTTTCTATCGAGAAAATTTTACGGAATCGTGTTTTCGTCTAACATAAACCTTAACATTAATCCTCAACTTTACCATATATTTATTTCAAAATGAATGCCGCAATACTTTCGGCATTTACCCGATTTTTGAGTTGTTTTTATATTATTCCTAGCCGTCCTTTTTAAATACCATATAATTTTTATTTTACTGTCATAATAAATTAACCACTATCAATTATATAGATGGCGCTATAAGTATTTTCAAACACCATTAGGTTTAATTATGGGCGAGATATAAAAGACACATAATATGAAATAATTACTTTGCTTGCTGCTTTCAACGCAATGCTTGTATTGGACACAAATCAATACAGAACAATACAGCAAATATGTTTCTTACTTTTATCTGATAACCGTTGCAGCATTTTAGTTTAGTTAGTGTGCTCACACTACTGAACCTCCCCATTGACTGCCTCATATTTCGCGTAGTTTCCACGATCTACCACGCATGCTTCACCCGATTACGGAACTGAAGGAGAGCGTTATATATTATAATATACAGCTAATATAATATGGTCTACGGCTAGGTATAGGCATTCAGTGAAATAAATATATATATAAAAAAGGATACCATTGGTAAGCATTCTCATACTTCTTGGAGCGAGGTCCATAGTGCCGTTCTGACGCATTTGCCCGCTTTACTTTAAAATTTGGAACTAGTAATAAAGTGTATATTATTAAGTTTTTATTTGCTAAGTTAATAGGTACTCAAAATTTGACAAAATTCTTATTCTATATTAGAAGTTTTTTATTTCGTTTGCAAATAGCGTTTATAAAAATTCATTTATTTTGGATATAGCTAAAATGAACAGAATAAAATTAATTTACCGTAAAGTTAGTTTTGCCATTTACCGACAGATGTCACTGTTCACTGTGTATATACTTTATACTCTTTATATACTGAGTCACAGATTATTACTTCTGTACGATAATCACTGAATGACTAACTCTTCTACCAGCGCACAAGCTTAACCTAAACCGCCTGTAGTACTCTAAAATTTGGACAGTAGCTACATTTTATGACGTAGAAATCCACTATAAAATAATGTTGGAAAATTCGATCCCTATGCGTTTGAAATAAGTATGTTATAGTTTATTATTTTATTATTGACTCGATACTTACTGAGAGTACTTACTGTATTAAAAAAAAATAAATGAATACGTATTTTGCTATTTAAAAATAGCCCGTTACCGTAGAAGGGGACAGGGGCAGAGGGTGTGCAATTTTGTATGGAGATAAAATATTTTGGTATTTCTTAAAACAGCCACCTGCTGGAGGAAGGAGAAGGGGGTAGATAATGTTTCATTTGTAGAGAGAAAAAATATTTAATGGTTCAAAGTAATTAAATAAAAAAAAATTGACACTTACGGTTCTAAAGCAATTGGGACAATAACTTCTTTTTATTAAGAAGGCACCCTCTAAGAAATAATTTTTGGAAAATTTAAATCTTTAGATGGTAAAATAAGGCTTTAAAGAATCTTTTTTTACGAGGCGATTTGATATTTGTATAGGGAAAAATTATTAAATGATTATTGTAACTTTAAAATTAGTACGAATACTTTGGGATTAAAATAATGCAATTAGTTTTAATTTTCTAATATCTCACATTAAAGTGTTAAAATCAGCCTACCTATATGTTTTGCGCGGATGAAATGGGTTATAATTGCATGGTGGTGGGGAAATCCGAAAAACGAAATTATGATAATTATGAATAATACCTATTATAGAACTTTACGCAAATCTGCTCATATTGATCATTATAATACAAAATATCAAAAATTGTCTATTTATCATTGTATCCTAGTCAGTAATGCGACAAAAAGATAATGAGATCAGATAAAGATAAAAATGCTTTACATGATTTCTGGGGCATAGAGATGAAACGCTGCTAAACTCTTGACTCCGGGCTTCTACTGAGAATTTCTTGATAAAAAACCCAATTGATTGAAAGTCCGATCACACCTATTACTTAAAGGTCAAA